AGTAGGGGGTTGGGAGTGGAGGCTATATCCGCAGTGCTCAGGGGACCATATGGGGTTTGCGGATTAAACCCGGGCTGGCCATGTACAAGGCAAGCGTTTTCCCTCCTTTGTTATCTCTGGTTCCAGGAAAAATTTTAAAGCAAACCCATGTTTAGGAGAGAACTCCAAAAATGCTTTGGTGATTTGATGGTTTGAGGTCTTGGTTTGCAAGATTTTTCACTAGTCCTGGGTGAACAAAGAACTACAAGTCTTTCCCATTCCCTTTGAGCTCAAGAGAGCAGTGAGTAAATATACCATTTCAGCCCTCAAGTGTTCTCTCTCTAACTGTATCTTACCTCCAGCTATTGTGTCCCTTTATCTGAACAGCAGGAAGTACACCACATAGAAGCTTCTTGACAAAAGTTACCCATAGCACAAGTCTTTTCAATACAATCAAGGAAGAAGGCTCTTCAGTTTCTTTATGCAACACTATTTGGGATTTATTTTTAGTTCAATTTTTTTAATTTTTAATTTTATGTTTTATGAATCACCGTGAGACATAGTTATAAAGCTTTCATGACTGAGTTTCAGTCATTCAATGATCGGACACTGATCCCTCCACTAGTGTACATTTTCTACCACCAACGTCCCCAGTATCCCCCAATCCCACCCCTCCCCTTCTATGGCAGACAATTTCCCCCATACTCTGTTTGAGTTTCAGTCATTTTGAGCATTATGGTTTGCAATACAGATGCTGAGAGGCTATCACATTTGGTCCTTTATCTACTTTCAGCACATGTCTCCCATCCCAAACGATCCCTCCAACCATCATTGGCTTAGTGATCCCTCCTCTTTCCCAGCTGCCTTCTCCCCCAGCTCATGAGGCAGGCTTCCAACAGTGGAGCAATCTTCCTGGCCCTTGTCTCTACTGTCCTTGGGTGTTAGCCTCGTGTTATTTTATATTCCACAAATGAGTGCAGTCATTCTATGTCTGTCCCTCTCTTTCTGACTCATTTCACTTAGCATGATACTCTCCATGTCCATCCACTTAGAAGCAAATTTCATGAATTCATCTTTCCTAACAGCTGCATAGTATTCCATTGTGTAGAAGTAACATAGTTTCTTCTACTTGTTTGTTCACTGCAGTAACTTTAATGAACACGTTCAGTTCTCCACAATGCCCCAAATCAAAATCCACATTTCAAAGCAAGGCTTACTTTATTTATTAAATAATAGCTAGAAAACTACTGTAATTTGAGGTCCAATTTCAAACAAATTTTTGTAAACATAGGCCCAAGCATTGTCAGTTGAATCACCAGATGATCCTGTATGAGGACAGGACAGGGCCTGTTCTAGCATCTTCTTTTATTTTTATTGAATCACTGTGAGATAGTTACAAAGCTTTCCTGTTTGAGTTTCAGTCATACAATGATTGAACACACATCCCTCCACCAGTGCACATCTCCTACCACCAATGTCCCCAGTATCCCCCCGCCCCATCTTACCCCTCCCCCTGCATCTATGGCAGACAATCTCCCCCACTCTCTTTTGTATTGCTTGTTACCTGGAATTCTAAAATTTTAGATAATTAGGGTCTGGTCTCTGCTGCTTGGAACGGTTCGAGATTCTTTTGTGTGTCTCTGGATCATGGCCATTAAGGAACTTAAATAGCAGCTGGAGGCAGTTCATGGGCATGACCTCCAGGGTCCCATACGAGGAGGAGAGGAGGACTGGCACATCCCCTACCCCATGAGGCCTGGATGCTGTTACTGAACCCGTATATCTGCACTTCTCATTGGATTCTGAAAATTGGCAGCTGCCGGAATCCTTAGGGGACAGGTGGAGGAACGACGCCTGCTCCCGTCTGAGATAACCCAGTGAAATCGGCCTGGCTTAAGGTCCGGAGGCATCTCTGCAGTGAGCTGCTCGTTTCTCAGCACCTTCTTTTATTATTTTTTTTTCCTCCTTATATTTATTTATTGAATCACTGTGGGGAAAGTTTTTAAGCTTTCAGGTTTAAGTCTTGGTCATACAATGATCAAACACCTCTCCCTTCACCAGTACTCATTTTCCACCACCAAGAACCCCAATATACCCCCCACCCCTCCCAATGCCTGTGAGACAGATTTCTACTTAACTCTTCTCTACATTGATTACATTAATTCGACAAAAGATGCACCATTATTGTTTAGAATTCCCCCCCCCCCCAACAATCAGAATTGCTGAAAAGGCATTGTGAAATACTTTGTTTTCTATAGCTGGTTATGAGAATCATATAATCTCACGTGGCTGCACTAGTGGCCTCACAATTTTGGATTTCTGCAAAGAGCCAGATTGGTTTCTGTGTGTCTGGTGTTATGGCTGTGCCGCTCGTGGGGGGCAACTCATGACCTCAGTAGGGCGTGAAGGACGAGCCGGTACTGCCCCCCTTCCCATGAGACTGCAGTTGCCCCATCACCACCAGCTCATACCTGGTTTTCCAATAAGCTCTGAGGAGGCGGCCACCTTGCTGCTGGGGGGGGGGGGAGGGGGAAGGTGGAAGGGAGCAACACCCTTTCCCTCCCGGGGAGGTACAGCGCCATAGTTTAACGCATGGTCCATTCACTTTTCTGCCACAAGCTGCCAGGCTCTGGACTAAGTCCTTTTGCCTCTGGAACCATGGCTGTGCCAGAGAACCGCTCGTGGGGGGCAACTCGTGACCTCAGTAGGGCGTTAAGGACAAGCCAGTACCACCCCCCTTCCCATGAGACTGCAGTTGCCCCATCACTGCCGGCTCATACCTGGCTTTCCAATAAGCTCTGAGGCAGTGGCCACCTTGTATGCAGTCCAGATGCATTTCTGCCAAAAGCCACTGGGTTTTGAGATTTGTTTCTGAGTCTCTGGGATCATGGCCGTTAATTAGCTTGATCAGGAGCCAGAGAGGCCGTTTGTAGGCGGTGACTCGGGGTCTCGCTGGGATGGGGAGGAAAGGACCGGTTCCACCCCCATCTGGTGAGGCCCCGCGTGTCTCATCACTGCAGGCCCAAACCTGACTGTCCAGTGGCCTCTGGAGGATGGCGGTCACCGGGTCACCAAGGGGAACAGGCCAAGGCACGAAACCTATTCCCACCTGGAGTGGCCCAGCGCCAGTAACCTACTGCAGGAACAGGATGCATTTCTGCCAAAAGCCTGTGGGTTCCGAGATTTGTTTCTGAGTCTCTGGGATCATGGCCATTAAGCAGTTCAATCAGGAACCAGGGAGGCCATGCCTCCAATTATATAGCTGAGCCAGAGGTGGTTTGTGGATGTGTCTCACACATACCTAACTTTTGGCCATTTACTTTCTTGGTAAACTTTGCCCCAAGTTTTTGGGGTCTGGCCAAAGGAACAGCAGCAATTTGGGGGTATCTGAAAGCCTGACGGTGCCATCAGGCTGCTGATGCACTCACCTCACAGGTACAATCAGCACCTTCTTTTAAATGGTTACATTTCTAAGCTGTTCTCAAGGATGGTGGCCACCACTTCGAGGGCCCATTTCTGTTCCTTCTCAAGTCTTTTACTTTCCGTTAGGGACTCTGATACTTGGGTTGATGCAGCTAAATTCACAAAGATAAACTGAACTTTGTTTTCTTAGAATTTGTCCCATCAACACATTCCATATGTGTTCATGTCCTTTTGTTTTTTGTTTTGGTGGACGTGGGTTTCACCATGCCTGACAGTGCTCAGGGCTTACGCCTGGCAGGGCTAGAATTATATGTGGTGCCAGGGACCAAACCTGGGTTGGCTATTATGTTCTGTCTCTCTGACCCCTATCTCCTTGTTAATTTGAAATCAACAGAAATTTAAACCCACACTCTCGGTAAATCTCTCCTTTGGTTGATTTGATTGTAAGAGTCATGATCTATTTATGTTAAAGAACTAGCACAGAACTTGTGGTCCTGCACATTGTTAGGAGGAAGGCTAAAGGAATGTTTGCATTTAAGTCTCAAAGTTACTTTGAAGGGCCAGAGAGATTTAATTCTAGCTACAGTGGCACATTTCTAACATGGGTGAGGTCCTGAGTTGATTTCAAGCACTCCACCTCATAACAACAGCAATGGGTGTGGTATGTGTGTGTGTGTGTGTGTGTGTAACAACAGCAATGAATGTGGTACGTGTGTGTGTGCGCAGGGAGATAGGAGGGGTGGCAGAGGTCGGGGAATGGAGAAGAGGAGGAGTTTACCAAAATGATAAGTATTTTTCTTTACTGATGGCTCAAGGATCATTTAGTATTATTAACAGTTTTGATTTATTGCTTTCTTCTAAAGTACCACACATTCTGACTAGCAAGTGATAAACTGAGAAGCTTATAAAAGATTAAGATTGCTGAGGTTTAAGTGATAACACACTGGAAAGGGCTCTGGCATTGTACACAGCCAACCTGGGTTCAATCCCCGGCACCTCATATGGTTCCCTGAACCCACCAGGAGTGACCCAGGAGTGCAGAGCCAGGAGTCTGCCCTGATTTCTGCCAGGTGTAGCTCCCAAACCAAACGGAAACAAAAAAATGGTTCAGATTGCTGCCTGAATTCTAGTGAATCACAATTTTGGTGAGATTTTTTTCCTTTTCTTATTTATTTTGTTGGCTTTAGAGCCATATCCAGCAATGCTCAGGGGCTATTCCTGGTTCTGTGCTCGAGTGACCTCTGGCAGTACGGAGGGGGCCATATGTGGTGCCCAGGACTCAGGTTGCAGCCAACACAGCTGCATACGAGGCAAGTGCCTACCCTCCTGTGCTATCTTTCTGGCCCTTCTGATTTTAAAAGGTCTCCTAGAGAGACCGATGTAGACTGACACGAGAAACTAGGATGTAAATAAAAGCAATAGGTTGTCTATACTTTTCACATTTAACTGATACAATGTGAAGATGTTTTCAGTCTTAAAAGGTCAAATAGGTACTGCAGCAAACTGGAAAGTTCTATTATTGTGTTCAAAGGCCAGGAAATTTCTAGTTAGCAAATGAAAACTAAGATAAATGATAAAAATGAAATGTGACACTGGGGTTTTTCAAAGACAAAGTTAGCATTTTATTTTTCTATTCCTGACACTCAAATTCAGAGGGTGAAAAGATAATAGAACATAATCAAAATTAACATACAAACACAATTCAAGAACATTTAACCAACTACTATAGCTGTTCTTTGTAAAACACATGAAGGTAAACAGAAATGGCTTTATAAATTATGCTTAACAATCTGTATGTACTGTAAAACAATTGTTAAAATTCACACCTAAGGTGCTAGTGCAAGCAGTGGTGTACAAAAGTGCAAATAAGTTTAGGATGGAAAACTTATCACCAACTTACCGATGCAACATCTCTGCATTCAGCCCAACACGTAAGGCCTCACCGTAGGAAACACTGACCACTTTGAAACTAACTTGTCTATACACTCACCCTGAGTGCTCTGGCCTTCTTAGCACAGCAGCTGATTATGAATTCATGTTTGGAGCAGCACTGGAGAATACAGAAACCCACACGAAGTTGGCTATTTAAATGTGAATGGAACCTTACGTTTGATAAAGAAAACATTTCTGAAGATTTACATGTCAAGAAATGTAGGGTTCATTCCCCTCTACCCTCCAAAATATTTAAAACTACAATGAAATATAATCCTCCCACTTAAAGTGCATGTTAAAAAAGGATTCATCCACGCCAAAAGTAATTTTGCCCACACAAACACCTTTCCCATTTTTCTGCCCTCAAAGATAAATCGGAGTGGGGAAACATTCCTGAAAACAGAGTTTACTTTGGATGACTTTGTTTACTTTGGATTGCAATTACAAGCGTGTCAAAACCCTGGCCACTGGTATTAAATAAACTTGCTATTTAGTGTTCTAAATAATGACAAAAAGTAGTGGTTCACAACTGCATCGTCAGTATTCTGGAGACTTCCATCACACTCAGGTGTGGGGTAGAGGCTGGTTGAGGGGTTCAGAAATGGAAACAGTTTTAACAAAGTCCCAATCATTTACACAGAGGCACAGTCATATTCAAGAGCCAGTTCTTTTCTCGTTAAAAATATGGACTTGCACTTCAAAAGGAGATGAGCAGTAAGGGGAATAACTAGGGACATCAGCATGTAGCTTTGAGAATTTAGTCTTTAAGAACTGTTTTCTGAACCCTCAAAAGAAAAAAGGCTTATAGAAAATGCTTTCATTCCCTATTTTAATTATGAAATTCTTATTTTTTCATGCATAAGAGATTTTTTGGAAGCATCAATAACTTAGCTTAAAATGAGCTGAAAATGACCTGAAGAGTAAAGTGGAAATAAAATGAACACAGCATATTTTGGGAGACTTCTTTTTAGCTGGTCAAGACTTACTTGCTAAAAAGTACCTGTGAACTTAAATCATGAAGTCATATAAGACACAAGATTGAAATATCACCTTGAGTTACATACCATATACAGTTTTCAAAACTGAAATTCTCAGATCATGTCAATTAGAAGTAAATAAACTGTTTTTGATGGTGAAATTGTGACATGCTGGGTTCTGATTGTGGCTGATGGATTGTTTTGCAGAAGACAGGGAACACTTAATAGCCATTGCCCTATTTTAATGATTTACAAATAGTTTACAAGCTGAAGTGCACTAGAGAAGTGTGAGTCAGCTTGAAACTGAAACAGTGTTCTGCTGATATGCTGTAAAGCACAGAAAATTTATTTTATGTACACAAGCACACAAAACATGAAATATAGACCTATGCAGGCAATATCTGAATTCATACATCTTTGGCACTCAAAGATACTGGATTAACTAAGCCAATTAGAAATAATATTTTTGCATATGTTTTAGAAAATATCTATGCTACATTTTTTAATGCTATAATCTTCATTTTAAGATTTCACTGAAATAAAAATAAATTTGAGTTATCAGTTTAACCAGTTTTCTAAATTATAATTCACAAGTCATTAGAGTGATTGAAATAGGTGTGGAATTATTAAGAATTTTTTTAAAAATGTAAAAGTAAGCTGAGACCTTACATTCAATGTATTTTGTTTTAGGGACACACCTAGTGGTGGTCAGGTCTTACTCCTGGCTCTGTGCTCAGGGTCGCACCTGGTGGGGCTTGGGGGGCCATATAGGGTTCTGGAGAATGAACCTGGTTAACTGTGTGTGAGGCAAAGGCCCTACCTGCTGTACTCTTTGTCCCTCCCACGCCCCCCCCCCCCCCATCTAGAGGAACCAGTTCACTTCCCCCTTTATGCCACATTATTTATGACATAAATAATTAACTATCTAGCCATACAGTAAGTAATTTAGGAAATACAAGAAAGGCATGTCTCTGTTGGTAGTAAGAAAGATGACAACAGCGGGAAGCAATTCCTTTTATAATAAAGATTAGTTCTTTATCAGGATGTTAGAAATGAGCAGTTCAAACCTATCTGGCAGAGTAAACCAATAGGCTGCTGTGTCATATCTGACTTTTCCTATGGTGCGACTGATATTTCTAAGCAGGAAAGAAGTACTTGTTTTTCTTTAGAAGGAATCTGAAAGTGAAATAACCAAATTCCTAAAACTAACTATCATGAGAAATGACCCTGTTGGCTTAACTAAGTGGCAATTTCTTCTAGTTCCTTGTATGTTACAGTGATTACATCAGAAAGAACTGTGATGGCTCTGATTGGTCAGAAAAATACTACATTTGATATTAAAGTAATTGATGGAATTGACAGTTTATTCTTGATAAAACTGGGTAAAATTGACAAAACAGGCTTGATTTATAACCTAGAGAGGAAATCTTACACTGAGAGTCTTTAAAAATACACATTTGGCACATTCATTTTACTTTACTAATTATGAGAGTCTCAGATGGGGGGACAGGAAGGAGGGAGAAGTTAATTTCTTTGGAAATTAAAATGCTTTAAAAAGCTCACTAAAATTGTATTAGGAAGTCCTATCAATGAGGCTTGCAGACACTATCACACAGCAAGCATTGTAAGACAAAAGCCTTTGGGCAATAAAGCAAGAGCTAGCTGATAGCAACTGAGATAAAAAAGGAAACTACAAGTTTTTTTTTGTATCAAGAAATAACATATGCCAAAGAATATGAAAGAGTGAACAGCGGCAGAATCCCTACACACCTTGGGGCTAACGAAGCAGGGGTAGTTTCTGTTTCCTTAGACGTGAAGAACTCCACAATGACAGCCTGTTGCTCACCCATTGGAGAACCTAAATGCACGGAGACCAACGCCTTCATGTAAAGAGGCAGATTACCAAACAGAGCACCAAAAAGACTCCTTCACAGTTTCACAACTGCAATAGAGCTCGAGCATCTATCAAACAAAAGCCAGCGTCATGCTATAACAGCAGATGTGCTGTTCTTTAGAAAATGCAGATCCTATAGAGTGGCAGGGATTCTGTCCACTCTAGTAAAGACTGGCACTGATAGAAAAAAAAAAAAGACGTGATTCAAAGAGAAATGTGTGATAAGGAACAACCAAACAAAACTGACCCAGTAAATGCAAAAGCCTCAAGGGATTTAAACATTATTCTAAATATTCTGAAGTAATCTCCTTTCCCAGCAATCCCCTCAAATGCATTAATAATTATTTCAGATTTCAGAACATACTAGCGAGGTAACAAACATTAAATAAAACATTTGCCCAGTAAGAATGCCAGATATTAGTTTGTTTTATTGCATGAAGTTTGCATATGAAAAAATGTTATTGACAACTGTAAGGCATCATGCAATGATCAATAAGCTGATTATGAACTGTACAGTTAAGTGGACATATAATCTAAAATTTAAAAACTAGTTCCAAAAAAGTACATAAAAAATTTAACATGATGAGCTTTTAAATATGGTTTATATTTGTAATTTCATGTTAAAAAGTGCTTCAAGTGTACTGCTGGAAATTTACTCTTTATAAATGGCGCCGGGGGTAATGTCAGATTACAAACTGTAAAAACGAATTATTTTTATGGAATTAGAAAGCTAACATTGTCATAGTCAAACTTCTTTGAATCAGTTTTCAATTCTCACTCAAATTAAGTTGATATATTATTAATAATCTAAAAAACATCTGTTTTCTAACCAACAAAAGTCTATTGAATTCAAGTTATGCATGTTGAGTGATCAAATCTCTGAGTAGGCCTGAATGGCGAGACCTGGAGTTGATGGGAATGGAGGTTAATCGATGTACTGTGCCATCCAGCGGAAACCTTCTCCGTAACCTTGCCTTTTGAGCACACTGCACATGAAAACTTCTAAGGGCCGGGCATTCAGTTCTTTCAAAGACACACTGCCCTAGAAGGAAAGACAGACATCATGTTGTGTGGCTCCCTTGAGAAATGTGGGCTCCCACCCCCACCCCCACCAGGTGAAATTGCAACTTAGCTCAGAACAAAGGGTGGTTGTGATAAAGCCAAGACTTTTTGGCATCCCAAACCCCTTAACACACAAAATAGCTCCTTATTTATTTATTTTTCCTTTTTGGGTCACACCCGGCAATGCACAGGGGTAATTACTCCTGGCTCTGCACTCAGGAATGACTCCTGGCAGTGCTAAGGGGACCATATGGAATGCTGGGATTCGAACCGGGTTGGCCGCGTGAAGGCAAACGCCCTACCCACTGTGCTATCGCTCCAGCCCCTCCTTTTTACTTTTTTTTTTTTGGCTTTTTGGGTCACACCTGGCGATGCACAGGGGTTACTCCTGGCTCTGCACTCAGGAGTTACTCCTGGCAGTGCTTAGGGGACCATATGGGATGCTGGGAATCAAACCCGGGTTGGCCGCGTGCAAGGCAAATGCCCTACCCGCTGTGCTATTGCTCCAGCCCCTTTACTTTTTTTTTTAAAGACAAGATGTCCACTTTGTGGGAAAGAGGTGAGCTTGTGAAGCATGCAGAAATACAAGCTTCAATTTAGAAAAATCTCAAGTCACCTGAACTGACTTCACTACAATCAGTACCTTTTTTTGTGTAGGTTTATAAGACAATTCCGAAAATGACTGTGGAGTGGACATACTGGAAAAAAAGCCATAAGTCCTGGCCCCAAACACACACGCACACACACATGTATGCATGCATGCACAGACCAAATTGTGACTCAGCAGTCAAGTGCTTGCCTTGCATGTGTGAGGTCCTGTGTCTGATTACTGGCACCTCACCCTCAATGCCCAAATAAAATCCACAACACAAACCAAAAGTCTACCTTATTGAATATATCTGACATGAAAATTTTATGGGTAGACCATGGTTCCTTTTTTCCCCCCCTTCCCAAACTGTGCAGGGTCCCAGGGCAGCTCTTCCTCCATGTGGGGTGGATAGGTTAGTGCTCGGAACAGTGAAACAGAGCAGCTGGGATGGGCAGACCCATGGGCCAACAGAGCTTCACCCAGAAAGAAGGGCGTAGGGGTCCATGTGGTATTGGGGAGCAAAGTTGGGGCTTCATGCATGACAGACACATGTTCCATCCACCTGGTCCCTACTTACTTTCTTTCACTGTTGACATGGGAATTTGCAATACTAAGCTGCTGTCCCCAAATATGTCTTCATTAAAAATGAATGTTAAAGCTTATTTAAAGGCCAGGGATATTCAAAGGGCTAAAGTGCAGGCTTTGCATGTGGGAGGTCTGAGTTTTATCTCTGCTACCTGCACGGCCCCCCAAACATCAAGTATGGCCCCAAAACGAAAAACAAAACACAAAAAAGCTTAGCTATAAAATATATGTTTATATAATTTTTAAAAATACTATACCAAAATTTACACTTTATTTATTGGGTGTTTTTTTTTTTTAGGGAGGTCACACCCAGCAATGCTCAGGGGTAATTACTCCTGTCCCTGTGCTCAGATATTACTCCTGGCAGTGCTGGGAAGCCATATGGAATATCAGGGATTGAACCTGGGACTGCAGCATACAAGGCAAATGCCCTAACCTGCTGTACTATTGCTTGTTCTAGCACCTTACATTTTAACTGTGGAAATGTAATGCTTAAATATTGAACTAGGGGGTCCTGAGCAAGAGTACAGAAGGTAGGGTGTTTGCCTCACATGTGGCCAACCGGTTTTGATCTCCAGCATCCCATATGGTCCCCTGAGCACCACCAGAAGTAATTTCTGAGTGTAGAGCCAGGAGTAACCCATGAGCATCTTCGGATGTGACCCAAAAAGCCAAAAAGTACACACACACACACACACACACACAGAGTGAACTAGGGGCTTATCTCTACAGTCTAACACTTGCACCAAGGAAAGATATGTAAGTGGTAGAAAAAAACTGAGAACATTAAAACAAGACCTTTGAGCCAAAGCAATAGTACAGTGGGTAGGACATTTGCCTTGTACGTGGCCAACCCAGGTTTGATACCCGCACCTCATATGGTTCCCCGAGCACCTCCAGAAATAATTCCTGAGTGTAGAGCCAGGAAACCCCTGAGCACTGCCATGTGTGACCCAAAAACCAAAAACAAGAAAACAAGACCCTTAGGATTAGAGTGATAGCACGGCAGTTGCCTTGCACATAGCTGACCTGGGTTCAATCTCAAGCACTTGTTATGGTCCTGAGTGCAGAGCCAGAAGTAAGCCCTGAGGACTACTGGGTGTGCCCCCACACCCCCCGCCAAAAGTGGAAGTTTTTCTCTAAGAAAAAAGTAGACTTCTATAGTGGAAAAACAATCACTTAAAGACATTTGTGGGGCCAGAGCGATAGTACAGTAGGGAGGGTGTTTGTCTTGAATGTGGCCAAACCGGGTTCAATCCCCAGCATCCCATATGGTCCCCGAGCACTGCCAGGAGTAATTCCTGAGTGCAGAGCCAAGAATACCCTTGAGCATCACTGGGTGTGACCCGAAAGGGAAAAATAAATTGTTTAGGACCAGAGAGATAGTACAGGAAGTAGAGTGCCTTGCACATGGTGAGCTCAGGTTCCATCCATGGCACCCACTATGGTCCCTCAAGCAGAAAACTAGGAGTAAGCCCTGAGTATTACCAGATATGGTTCAAAACAAACCAAAACCCTGTTGAATGAAATACAACTTGTCAAAAAAGTTGTTTTCTGGGGGCCAAGAGATAGTCCAGTGGGTCACTGCTTCGCATGTGCCAGACACAGGTTCGATTGCTGGCACCCCTATACAGTTCCCTGAGCCCTGCTAGGAGTAATCCCTGAGTACAGAGCCAGGAGCAAGCTATGAGCAGAGCCTGGTGTGGCCTAAACACTGGGGTAAAAAAAGTTGTTTACTTACTTTTCCTGTTGTCTGACCATATAAACCAAACATCTCTCGTAACCTCTCTTCGCTGATGGCTTCAGGTCTGTCAATTTTATTCCCAAGAATCAGGATAGGCACATTAGCAATGGTTTCATCTGTCATTAGGGACTGAAAACAAAAGACAAGCTGTTGGTGGGAAAATCATCTAAAAGTCCTATTTTGACAACTTAGGAAATGCGCATCAATTCCCTACAGTATCATATCAGTTTTGCAAATTTTCTTTGGTAAATTCAGACCTCATATAGTGATCTCAGTGAAACCCTAAGCTCAGTTCTTTCTGGGCTTCTGTAAATGCTCTTATGTGCCAGTGAGATTTTACAACTGAAGCAACACCCGAGAGGTGGGCAGACCTGGTTTTCTTTAGGTTCTTCTCCTAAGTGGTGAGATCTTAGAGAAATAAGCCTCACTGAGGCACACAGAGGATTTAGAATAGTCGTGACTGCCTTGTGGAATTAGAGAATTTCCTGGCAGAGAGTAGGAACTCAGGAATTTCCTGGGACTAACCAGTCCAGAATCTACTTGGATGTTCCCACATGAAGACATACTTGTTTGCCTGCTCTAGACAGAGGCCATCTGCAGGCAAAGCCCTGACCTGCTTTACCTGTGCTCCCAGATCTGACACTGGCCTGGGACAGGGAAGGAGAGTTGGCTACACACAGCCCGCTCACTCCTGCTAGTGGGAAAAGACAGCACATTCTATTTCCAGGTTCTGAACAACTCCCAAAGAAACTGGCATCCTAGATTTACCACATACTAAAGAGCAAGCTGGTACCGGGATGTAGGAAATATCCCGGCAGGGCACATCCAAAGAGCAAGTCCCTCCAGGTTTCAGGAAGGAAGCCTGTGCGAATACCTGTTAGAAGCTCTCTTTAGCCTATGCTGCTCCTCCACATCCTGAGGAGCGTTATCACTGAGCTCCACAAATTGTTAGGAGTCATGTCAAGACAGAAAAGCTGCAGTCGGATAACCACACCTGCAGTGCATTTCCTTAGGATTACTGGTGGGACTGAATTATGCGTAGTTTCCATTATTTAACTTACATCAAGTTCTTCTTTTGATTCGAGCAGCCTTTCATGGTCTGCACAATCCACCAGAAATACAATACCATTGATAGCAGGAAGGTAGTTTTTCCACACTCTTCGAGCTAAAAACAGAAGTTAGATTTTATTTACTGGTCAGATGGTTTGATGCAAAAGTGGGGAACCTCTGTTCGGTCAACTGCTATTTGTATATCTGTAACTTCATTCATGAGCCATACAATATAGGGAGACTACCTTGGGCAGCTGACAAGAAGCATAAGCATCTGTCCTGTCAGGGGCCGGACTTCGTGCCACGGGCCTTATATGGCTCTCTCCTGGTTTAATGGAAGAATCCAATAAGATAATCTCATCCAATAAGATACCCTTCAGCTGCTGCTACTTAGTCAAGTGAAACTTTTATTTAAGTGTTGCCAAGTCCTTTTCAGAAGAAATTATAGCTTGATTTGTGGGGGAAATGAAATACTTTATATTTGCTGCTGATAAAGAGTGATAAAACATTAAGTCCACTAGAGGACAAAAAAACAATATAAAGGATTTTTTTTCTCTTCTTGTAGCAAAGAGGGTGTAGCTGAGAGAAGTCCCAGATGGAGTGTCATTCTGAGCAAAAGTACAAAAACAGGAGACCACCAAGAGAGTCTGGTTCAATTAGAGAATGAGATGGGAGGATAGTGGGAAACACAGAGAAGAAAAGCAAACTGGGATCAGGGCATAAGAGAATGCCAGGTTGATGAGCTTGGCCTTTATTTTATGGCTAGTAATTTAGCTACGGAAGATTTTTAATATGGGGCAGTAACATTTAGCAAGTGAGCAGTGGGGCTGGAGCGATAAAGAGGGGAGCGTGTTTGCCTTGCATGCAGCTGACTCGTGTTCAATCCCCGGTATCCCATATGGTCCCCTGAGCACTGGCAGGAGTGATTCCTGAGTGCAGAGTCAGGAGTAACCCCCTGAACATCACCAGGTGTGACCCAAAAAGCCTAACTAAATAAAACAAGTGAGCAGTGAATCAGATCAGAGAACAGAGGCTAACTTGTACTCGGCTTTACTAACAAAAGTGATTCTGAGGGGCTGGAGCGATAGTACAGTGGATAGGGCGTTTGCCTTGCATGCGGCCAACCCAGGTTCAATTCCCAAAATCCCATATAGTCCCCCAAGCACTGCCAGGACTAATTACTGAGTGCAAAGCCAGGAGAAACTCCTGTGCATCCCTGGGTGTGATGCAAAAAGAAAAAAAAAAGTGATCCTGAAATACTAACCAAGAGTATCACAGAAAGCACCTTTGCTTTGAATAATTTATCTTTGAGTAATAAATCCTAACTTTAAGTCTATTCTAGCCTTCCTTGATTATAGTGAGATTTCACGCACTGGAACACAATGGTCACATTTTTATTGTTTACATACAAGCAAATGGATGGGTGGAGCTGGGGACATTGGTGCACTGGTGGTGGGAAATGTATCTGGTGAACGGAGGGTGTTGGAACATTATATGACTGAAACCTAATCATGAACAACATTGTAGCTGTGTATCTCACTGTGATTCCATTTAAAAAATTAATTAAAAAATAAATAAATACAAGCAATTAACAGAGTCTTACCTTGAACATGTCCACCCAGATCAAAAGTTGTAAAGGTCATGCCAGCAATGGTTAGTTCTTCTGAAGCTAAATAACACAACAAAATAAAAAGCAACAAAATAAGAAATAAAGAGTACACTCGTGGTATATATTTAGTCTGATGTACCCAATAACTAATGAGAATCAAATATTTAAGGGACAAAGTTCATTGTTATTGGATTATTCCATATTGACAATATAAACCAGGAAATGATAATATTCTAGTTTTCATTACCTACCATATATCTAACATGTTTTTATTTTGCCTATTGAAAATGTCATCTATAATATAAACTTATTTGCAACAAATTCAATGAAGTACTCCAGTCTAAAATTTTATCATGTAATTCTTCTGAAATGATACAAAAATGTTTTTTCCTGTGATAAAGTTTAAAGGATTTGTTTTTCTTTTCTTGGGAATTACAGTTCAGTAATTGGGTTAGCTATTGCCAATATCTGAAAATAGCTGTAGGAGATAATTTTTTTCCAGTTTCTAATCATTTACAAAAGGGGAATAACTGTTACTCCTTCATGAACTAGAGCAGATGTCCTCTGCAGTTACAATGAAAGTTCAGTGTAATTGTTAACTCTTCAGTAGTACTCAGGTTAAAAAATATCCTGCAAAGGACCAGAGTTGGAGCTCAGTAGGAAAACACATGCTTTGCAGTCCTGGATTTGATCCCAGTACTGCAGCAAAAAACCCAAATATGTCGGTAGATTGCCAAATTGAAGACTATAGTATAATTTGTGTCCAAAGCCATTATAGGAAAAAGATAATACTCAGAAGTACCTTTGGTTACAATGCCCAAACACTCCCTGACTTATAAAAGAAATTCAAATTTGATTAAAATAAAGACACTGTTAACCACCCCAGAAAGTCTCCTCTTGGCACTTTTCAGTCAATGCCTGCTCTACTTCCAGAATCCCTACTTTCTCTCATGGGAGTTCTATCAGCACATTAGTTTTGCCTGTTCCACAAATATGATATGATACCACGTAAGGGCAACATATATAATATGCACTGGTATTTAGCTGTATTCATTCTTCTTTCTTGTTGAGTAAAATTCCGCTGTTTACTCTTTTTTGGATGGACATCTGAGCCAGCTTTTAGCTATTACAGATAAAGTAGTATAAACATAATTGTATAAGGATTTTAGTAAACATGTTTTCATTTCTTCTGGATAGAAAACCTAGAACTGGAGTTATAGATCATAGGGCACTTTTTTTTTCCATCTATGTTTTTACTAACTGTAGAATGTAATAGGAATGAGTGTAAGCTGAAGGCATATTTGTGCCACTGGTCTACTCCTAGTATTGAAAACTAGGACTGACAAAATGTAGATGCTCATAACTATTTAATAAAAGGAGAGCAACATCAAAACAACATTAAAACATGACTTACACCTACTATAAGACCACTCTGTAATCTTACATTTCTGCTGTTTTTGCAGACAATTTTATATACTCAATTTTACCATACCACTCTTTAACAGTACTGTTCTTATATTAGACTCTTATTTGCCAATTCCCACTCTCTTCTCCTAATATAAAAAGAGATTTATCAATGAAATCTCCCTTTTCCACTTTCTCTAACAATTTTAGATAATACTAATAACATGAATAGATAAAAATAGTTTTATGTTTTGTTTTGTCTTTTTACTTTTTTTAATATTCACCAAACAAAACAATTATCCTATGATCTACTTTTTGGTATAATTCTTGATTTTATACTCATGAAAGCCACACTCTTTTCATAATGTGAATTTTCTTGCCTGTAAACTTCTTGTCTACTTGATTTATAGTTTTTCCAACAATTGACATAAAGTCATAAGAATTTGTAAGTTAAATTTCTATTTCTAAGATTGCATTCATCTGGGGAACATAAAGTAAGAAAATAGGAGACTAACACCCAAGAATGACCGAGATTAGTACCAGGAATTTTGCTCCATGGCTTGGAGGCCAGCCATACATGCTGGGGGAAAGGGAGCTCAGATAGAGAAGGGAGCACCAAATCAAGGGTGTTGGGAGGATCCTCCCAGGATGAGAGAAGCATGCTGAAAGCAGACTATAGACCAAACATGACTGCCACTCAATGCCTCTCTTGCAAAACACAACACCCAAAAGGAGAGAGAGAACAGAGGGGAATGCCCTGCCACAGAGGCAGGGTGGGATGGGGGATGAGGGGTGGGAGGGATACTGGGATCCGTGGGGGTGGGAAATGGGCACTAGTGGAGGGATGGGTATTTGATCATTGTATAATTCAAACCCAAGCACAAAATTTGTAAGTCTACAACTGTACCTCATGGTGTCTCACTAATAAAAATTTTTTAAAAAATTTTCTATTTCTAATAACTGTGACTTTAACATTATCTTTTTCAAAGAGCATGTATTACAACTCTGCATAAAGGATGATTATGTATTAAGTCATTTATATAGTCATTATCAATGTCTTGCGGGCGGGTCTTAAAGCACAGTAAATTATTTTTGTGACTGTTTTTAAACTATCTTTAACTATTTCAGTATAGAGCGATAGCACAGCGGGTAGGGCATTTGCCTTGCATGTGGCCGACCCAGCTAACCCAGGTACAGTTCTTCCACCCCTCTCAGAGAGCCCAGCAAGCTACTGAGAGTATCTCGCCCGCACCGCAGAGCCTGGCAAGCTACCCGTTACGTATTCGATATGCCAAACACAGTCTCACAATGAAGACGTTACTGGGCCTGCTCAAGCAAATCGATGAACAACAGGAGGACAGTGCTACAGTGCTACTCTATTTCTGTGAATAATTTTATAGTCTTCATTATATTTTGTTGAAGTTGTTAGGGGAAAAAATAGCTAATCATCATTAAGCAGCAAAGTACAAGACGACATTTGTCCATGGAATTAATGATTAAAATTGGGGCGCTGGAGAGATAATATGGAGGGCAGGGCATTTGTCTTGCAAGGTGTTGGTAGCCTGGTTTGATCTCCACAATTGTATCCTCCAGTGGCTTATGGTCCCTCTCAAACCGCTCACCAGCACCGCCAGAAGTGGCCCCTAGGTTCATCCAGGTGTAGCCTCCCAAAAAGAGCAAAATATATTTTGAAAAAAGTTCAAGTTGCATAGGGACCAGAGAGATAGTATAGTGGGTAGAGCATTTGCACATGACAAATCCGGGTCCTAGGTTCAATCCCCCACATCCCATGTGGTCCCTAGAGCACCAGAAGTAATACTTGAATGCAGAGCCAGGAGTGCTCACTGAGCAACACTGGGTGTGTGGCCCAAAAGCAAACAAGTAAAAAAACCTTTAGGTTAAGTAAACTAATGATGAATGGTAACTTTTTTCACAACCAAGGCAGCATCTGCTTGGACAGAACCTTTTTAATGCTTTTGAGTTGGAGAAGGAAGTACTAATAAAAATATGAGTAGATGGCTTTGCTTCAGAGACCTATAAATAAATCTCAAAAAAGATCAAAAGCTGCAATTAAGCTCGGATCTGCACATGGCTAAACAGACTGGGGTAAATCGGAAGGGAACGGGTTGGCCTGGGGCCCGCCCAAGCAGAGCCCCCAGCAGCCGCTTGCTTCCACAATCCAAAATCGCTGCCATACCTCCAGCCTGACTCCACTGTCTCAGGACAAACCTCACCAAAATATAGTATGCTGAAAATTCGGGTATGCAGGTTTTGTGACTGAAATCTCCACACTTTCTCGGGATTGGGATGGGCTACCTCCCCAACCTCCTTGTACTTCTGGAAGCCTTAGCAGTCACATCCACACCTCAAAGTGGCCACCCAATTAAAAAGCTACTCCAGCAATACTGTCCTGATGAAAATACTGAATGCCCTGAACAAACACCATGTCCTCTTGGCACCTGTATTGCAAACCACAAAGCAGAAAAGGAAAAGGAGCAAGAAGGAAAGTGCCTCCCATAGAGGGAGGCTGGAAGTGGGAGGTGGGGTGTTGGGGGATGGTGGTAGGAAAATGGTACTTTGGTGGTGGGAAATGTACAGTGGTGGAGGGATGGGTGCGGGATCATTGTATGGCTGAAATCCAACTATGAACAGTTTTGTAATGGTCTATCCCACGGATATTCAATTAAAAAAATGGAGTTCATGCCCAATTCAATCAGCATAATCAATGGCTGAATAAACAACACAGTAGTCCTACATTAAAAAAAATATTAGTAGAGCATTGAGGAGTGGCTCAAGTGGCAGAGTACATGGATTGCAAAAATGAGACCCTGGGTTCAATCCTTAACAGTGAAAAACCCCTTCCTCCCTACACTGCTAAGAGTGGTCCCGCCAATCATAACTATACCCCCCTCCCCGCAATTCATCAGTAGGGCTGGGAATATGGTTTGTCATAGAGAGTATGTCTGACATGGTCAAACTCTGGGTTTGACCCCAATGAAAAAATATATTGGTTATATATTGGGGCCCAGAGAGATAATACTTTGTGAGTAAGGTGCTTACTTTGCACGTGGCCAACCTGGATTCGATCTCCGGCATGCTCTTCGGTCCCCTAAGCACCATTAGGAGTGCTTCTGAGTGCAGAGCCAGGAGTAACCTCTGAGAATCACAAGATGATGTTCCCCCCTTCCCACCAAAAGACGCTATATATATATTATCAGATATGTATCAAGATATATATCTATTACCTGGGAGCTGGACCACCTATTATTTTTCTATTTTGATACATTATATGGAGGAACATACTTACTAGGATGTAATGTTGGAACATGCTGTCCAAGTCTGTCATCTTTTAGCATGTGTAGCAATGTTGTTTTTCCTGCGTTATCCAATCCAAGAAATACCAATTTACCAGTTTTCTTATATAACCCTGCAGAGTAAAATATGATTAGTCAAAATATCTGATAAGATCATTCAAATAAAATGAAGGAAGTGTGTTTGGGTCGCACCTAGAGGTGCTCAAGAGTGACCCCTGGTGGTGTTCAGTGGGCCATATATGGTCCCAGGACTGAACCAGGGTCTTAGCCACTGCAGCTATATGCAAGGCAAGGGCCCTACCTCCTGTACGATCTCTCTGAGCCAGTCCTTTGGATTTTAATATTTTATACATTTACCAGAATCAAGTTGGATTTTGAAGGGCAATTTTAAATCTATTCTTATTTTGTATCTCAAATCATTATAAAAACAGGGCTGCAGCAATAGAGTCCGTTAAAGTTCAGAGTTTGTTAAAGTATTTATCCCACATCTCACCAATCCCAGCTGGAATTGCCGGCACCACATATGGTCCCCTAAGCACCTCCAGGGGACATACCTGAGCGAGGCCCCAGAACACTTGGTGTGGCCGAACACCCCCCCCGCCCCTCAAACGTAGAAACAAACTTTGCCCCATTCAATAGAAAGCGTGTGTTACCTATGCTTATCTGCAATGCCAAATTGTTTAGATAAAAATTTAATGACATAATATGCATTATTGAGTCATATTTTCATTGCCCTAAAATTTCCCTGGGCTCTCCCAATTTACCATCTCCACATCCACCCCATACCCAGTAGCAAACACTGACATCTTTTTTTCCATCCTCATATTTTTGCGTTCCCAGAATATCATGGAGTAGAATTCATATACTTTTCAGACTGGATCTTTTTTAATAGGCACTTGAAAAAAATTTAAAATAATAAGCACTTGGGGTTCCTTAGTGTCTTTTCATGACTTGATAGATCATTTAGTTTTCAGTGCAAAATAATATTCTATTGTCTAGAAGTACCAGTTAATCTATTCATCTGTTGAAGACCATCTAGATTGCTTTCAAATTGTGACATTTATGAACAAAGCTGCTACAAACAACAGTGTGCAGATCTTTGGTTAGATGTGTTTCAACTACTCTGGAGAAATACTAAGGAATATGATGCTGGATTGTACAGTAAGACTGTTTAGTACTATTTTAAAAAAAGCAAATGGAGTGGGGGTAGCGGAGTGATAGTACAGCAGGTAGGGTGCTGGCCTTGTATGTAGTTGTCCTGAATTCAATCCGTAGCTCCCCTTATGGTTCCTCGAGCCCACTGGGAATGATCCCTGAGTAGAGAGTCAGGAGTAAGCCCTGAGCAATGCTGAATAAAGGTAAGGTAAAGGTAAAGGCCCTCCCGTTGATCGTCGATTTGCTCGAGCGGGCCCAGTAACGTCTCCATTGGAGACTTTGTTGTTACTGTATCTGGCATATCGAATACTCTCGGTAGCTTGCCGGGCTCTCCGAGAGGGGTGGAGGAATCGAACTCGGGTCGGCCATGTTGGCCGCTTGTAAGGCGAACGCCCTACCCGTTGTGCTATCGCTCCAGCCACCCCCAAACAAAACAACAACAAAAATAGCAAACTGAGTCAGGGGTTCGAAGGGCTGGTGTGCACGCTTTGTGGAGAGGCATGGAGGGTGTACTGCCAGTTGCCAGGTTCCACCTTACATCACACTATTTCTGAATAACATGCTGGGAGCAGCCCCTGAACACTGTACAGGTGAGGTGTTTTTGTTTAAAAACAAAACCGAAATCCCACTGTCTTCCAAAATAGTTCTACCATCTTAAAGTCTCAATAGTAATGTATGAGAATGCTTGTCACTCCACATCCTCAAGGCATATGTGACTGTTAATAGGAGCAATATATATATACATATATATATACACATACACACACACATATATGAATAGGCTCTAGACAAGTACTTCTATAAAAATAAAACTAATTGGGATTACTGGGATAACAACAAAGAACAAAGTGCCGAAATTACCTAAAAATTGTAGCACACTGCTGAAACCACTGTAAATCCAGTCAAATATGAAGGACATATCCAAATCTTACAGGGTCTGGAATAAAAAAAAGTGTTTTGAATTTAGTAATCATCATTAAACAACTTTGAGTATATAATCCTATGGACAATCTTACTACACAGATTTAAACACTTTTCTAGGGTGAGCTAACTTGATCTATATTGATGCATTTAAAACCAAAATGCCATTAAATCATACTAAGTAGATGAGGCTGTACAGTGGGTAGGGTGCTTGCTTTACATGCAGCTGACCTGGGTTTGATCCCTGGCGCCGTGGGTGGTCCCCCAAGCCTACTAGGGGTGGTCCCTGAGCACAGAGTCAGGAATAAGACCTACACACTGAGTGTGGCCCAAAACAAAGAAAAATATCAAGTAGAGACCCATCTTTCCTCATCAAAGTGCATACATGAAAAAGATTTATGAAAGTCAAGTCTAGAAAAGATTGGGGAAAAGAGGAAATGTTAATGACAATAAAATTAACACAAATATTTTTAAACCTATCTGATAAAAATGTATCTGTTAGCATTTGAACAAAGAATTCTACTTTTTTTGTTTTGTTTTTGGGTCACACCAGGTGATGCACAGGGGTTACTCCTGGATCGTGAACTCTGGAATTACTCCTGGAGGTGCTCAGGGAACCATAATGGATGCTGGGAATCGAATCCGGGTTGGCCGCGTGCAAGGCAAACGCCCTACTAGCTGTACTATCTCTCCAGCCCCAAGAATTCTACTTTTTAAAAAATCCCTGGCTTCCCTTCAAGTCCATGTTCTCCCTGAACACGTCTCACTTGCTTTCTCCGGCTCCTGTTTACTGGCTCTTTCAGAGCTCCTGTTCTCTCTTCTTTCCTTTTACCTATTTCCTTTCCTCTCCCCTAATATTTTTCTGAATTTGTTCAATAAAAGCTACCCTGTTCCACTAAAAAGTAAACAATTCCTAAATATAGAAAAGATAAACATATAAAGACATTATTGAAGTATACTTAGTCCAGAGAGATAGTACAAAGGGAGTTAAGGAACTTGCCTTGCAAATGACACCGGTTCAGTACCCAGTACTGCATGGTCCCCAGGCACTGCCTGGAGTGACTCCAAAGCACAGAGGCAGGAGCAGTCCCCAAGCACCACTGTATATGGCTCCAATTCCCCAACTCAAAGAAGTGTTAAGTATTGGATCGGGCCAGAGAGAGTACAGCAGTGTAGGGCACGTGCCTTGCATGCAACTGTCTTGAACTTGATCCGTGGCACATCATACGGTCCTCTGAGTCCAACAGGAGTAAGCCCTAAGCATTGTCAGGTGTGTCCCAAAAGTGTGTCCAACAAAATATCAGAGGGCTAAGGAGGTAACTCAGTGTACTGAGCATATACTTTTCATACAGGAGACCCAGGTTTGATCCATGGCACTGTAAGGTCCCCTGAGTATTGCCAGGAGTGACCTGCAAGCACCACCAGGTATAGCCAAACAAAAACATTAGAAAATTAAGTTAAACAACCTGGAGAGATAAAACAGAGGGTAAGGCACTTGCCTTGCTTGTGGCCAACCAGAGTTTGATCTCTGACACGTTTTGGTCCCCTAAGCTCTGTCTGGTATGATATCTGAGCACAGAGCCCAGAGTAAGCCCTGAGTATTGCTAGGTATGGCCCCCAAACAAAAACAAAAAATAAACTAAAAGTATACATGGCCTACAGAGTATTTACCAAACCCTTCTTGGAATTAAGGGGAAGAGAAAGAAGGAAATTCATGGATATTAAGTTCCCAAGTCTGACTATACCTATGTAGGGGGAAAAACTATATAATAGGTAGGAAATGTATCATTAGTAAATATTTTTAAAACTCCCTTCCCTAAACCACAAGAGAAATTGTAGCATATAGGGGCTGGAAAGTTAGGATGTTTACTTTGCACGCAGACAATCTGGGTTTGATCCCTAGGACCATATATGATCCCCAAGCTCTGTCAGGAGTGAAGGAATGATCTCTAAACACAAAGTCAGAAGTAAACCCTGAGCACCATCAGGTGTGGACCCCCTCCCACCCCCCCTCCCCAAATTGTAGAGTATAAACTCATGTGTCAGGGCTGGAGCAATAGTACAGTGGGTAAGGTGAATGCCTTGTACAGGTCAACCCTGGTTTGATCACCAGCACCACATATGGTCCCCCAAGCACTAACAGGAGTGATTCCTGAGCAAAGAGGCAGGAGTAAATCCTGAGCACCGCCAAAAAACAAATTTAAAAAGTTATTTGTCACTCAATGGACATTTGGAGCAATAAATGATCCAAATGCAACAACGGATTTTATAAGCTAGCATTTCTCAACCAGGGAGCCATATCTACCCCTTCCCCCCATCTCTCAGAGGCCCCTAAGATATTCTCAGGGGGGCACAGGAAGGAAACAAGGTTGGAAGGGGGCCACAGTTGGGAAAAGGTTAAGAAACACTGGGTGAGACCCTAAGACATCAAGTTGTAAGCTATCCAATCTAGGTCCGTGTAATCATATTCTCTGGCATTTCTACGATGATAAAAACTAAAATGCTTCATGATGCATTCTCAGACTGAATCCCTGGTATTTAGTGACATATGGGTATAGCTCAGTTCAGTATTTACATGACTTGTGTTTAATAAAGGGGGATAAAGCCTCTTGAGAAAAGAAAGGCCATATATACAGGAATAACTTGGGGGGTATTTTTTCAAATAAAGTTATTTTCTAGAGCTGAACAAAACCTAAACCCAGGTGCTGGAGAGCTAGAACAGGATTAAACACTTTCCCTGCCTGTGGCCAACCCTGGTTCAATTCTCATATGGCGCAACATACAGCCCGCTGAGCATTGTCAAGAGTGATGGCTGAGTACCGCTGGGTTTGGCCAAATCTCCTGTATCCCAATTAACATTAGGAAGGTTAGAGAGACAGTTCAAGAGAATGAGTACCTGCTTTTCAGCAGAAGACCCTGGGTTTGATCCCTAGAGCCAGAAAAAAAAAGTGAGAAGTATACTGGCTTGTTTTCTTGTTCTTTCAAGCCCGTGCTCTCTCTTACAATCACTTTATCTCTCCTATCTCTAAGTTTCTTTCCACAAAACTTTTGCTTCACACACACACCAAAAGTTTAAACAGTATATTATCTAGGATGCTAACAACTTACACTATAGTTTCAAGACATACAGACACAAAGAAAATTTTTGCCATATTCTAAATTATAAGCTACTAGTGGAATAATAAAAGAACATAAATACAAAATAATGCATTAGGAAGAAGTATGGCATGCTTACAAATGCATTTTACGCTAAATATATATATATATACACATATATATAAAAAAAAAGAAAACCAGTCCTGCTTGTCTCTACATCCAAAGTCTTAGTTCCATAGTTTTAGAGAGGCAACCAGAAGCAGTGAAGGAAAAGGTTCTGGGATGATATTTAGCCTGAATCATGATAATTTCTTTGTTAGCCAAAAAATAATAAAGAGCATTCCACTGTAGAAGTGTGCAACTGGATTCAATGAAAAGGGTTAACTGGGGTTGGAGAAACAGCAGTGGGTAAGGTGCTTGTCTTGCACATGTCCCCTCTAGGTTTGATCTCCCAAGACCCACTGGCCAAAGCTAGGAGTAAATCCTGAGCACCTACAGGTATGTCCCAAGAACAAACAATAAAAACAAAGGTATTGTTATGTGAAGGAATGAGGATCAGACACTGTAAACTGAGAAATAAAATCACAGGAGCTAATTATCGGAGGCAGGAGCCAGAATGGTAAGACAAATCTGAGACTACCTTCAGGTATTTGGTTTTCATGATATACGAATATAAATAATACTGAGTAAGCCTTCCAATTTAATAAAACAAAATCCAAACAAAATATGGAAGTAATAATTTTGAAGCCCTATAGCATTAAGGTCTAGAGCAGAAGTGTCTAAACTTATTTGGCCTACTGCCCTTCTGGGTCAACAGAGCCTGGAAAGCTCCCCATGGCGTATCCTGATATGCCAAAAACAGGAACAAGAAGTCTCACGAAGGAGACATTACCAATGCCCGCTCGAGCAAATCAATGAACAACAGAGGAGGACAGTGCTACAGTACAGTGCTACCCTTCTGGGTGCTTTTGTTTTCTGGGGTGTGTGTGGGGAGGGGGGGGGCTGTCACACCCAGTGGTGCTCAGGGCTTACTCCTGGCTCTGTGCTCAGGAATGACTCCTGGTAGGACTTGAAGAACCATAGGCAGTTCAGTTGACTGAACCTGCGTGGGCCGTGTGTGTAAGTGCCCTAAGTACTGCACTATCAAAAACTCAGAACAAAAACAAAAAACAAACACCTTATCCCCACCCCTCCCTGACAAAAGATCTCAGTGAAATTATAATTAACATTTCCTTTTATGTTTGGGTTCTGATTTAGGTGGACAGAGAGCCAGCACCATGACCAGGGAGTCCTCTGGCAAGTATGTGAGTGTAAGTCACCACAGGGACTCCTGGCAAGCACCACGCTCTCAACTGTAGATCTCAAGTAACAGCGCTAGCTCAGCGGACAGAGCAAGAGCTCAACATACGTTGCATGTGGGAGGCGTGGGTTTGATCCCCAGCACCACCTGATCCCAAGCACAGAGATGGGAGTAACCCCAGCACAGGAGCCAAATATGACCCATCAAAAAACAAAACAGTTTGACTTCAGGTAAGCACATGCAAGCACTGCAACAAAAGGAGGGCAGAGCCTGCTGTATGCCATGGCTGACTATGTGAGTGGCCTGACTCTGACCCCAGGGAGCACTGTGGCCAGTAGTGTGTGCAACCTCTGGTCACCACAATACCACAACACAGGGAAAGGGGAGGAGCAGAATTTTTAGAAAGGAAAAAGGAACCAATGAATGGACTCTAGGACTGGAAATACAGTGGGAATTAAGGAAAAAAGTAGCCACATCAAAAAGACAGTTGCAAAAACGTCAAGACTGGCTTTGGTGACAGGAGATTTAATTGTTTTTGTTTGGTTTTGGGGCCACAACTGCTGATGCTCAGGGGTTACTCCTGCCTCCTCACTCAGAAATTATATACAGATGACCAGAAT